ATGATAGGTGGGACTTCCAGGAAGAGATAGGAACTCAGGGAAGAAGAGAGGTGAGATTCGACAGTCAGACATGGAGGAAGTGGAATGCACAATATTAAGCAGAGACAGAATATGGTAGGACACAGATTAATATAAACTGATTAATTTAAGTTATAAGAGCTAGTGGGAAACAAACCTAGGCTAAAGTCATGCTTTTATACTTAATAAGAAGTCTTTGTGTCATTATTTGAGAACTAGTGAACCAAAGTAATTCTAATTAGAGACAACAGTGATAATGATGATAGAAGCCGCTTTTTATTATTTTAAAATTTTCATTTTATTATTTTAAGTTGTGTGTTTATGTGTGTTCTTGTGTGGCTTTTATGTATATAGAAGTACAGGTGCTTTGGAGGCCAGAGCTGTCAAATCCCTCTGAACCTGGAGATACAGATGGTTGTGAGCTGGTAGACATGCTTGCTGGAACCAAATCTTCTGGAAGAATAAGAAGTACCTTTAATCACTTAGCCATCTCTTTTGCCCAAGTTTCCTATTTTAAATTATCCTTAAAGCCACCCATATCTGTGCTTTCACCACTATTTTAACACATGCCGTGTTTTTAAAATAGCACCTTTTGCCTGTGCAGCAGCTTGGATTTCTGCCATGTAAGCAACAAGAACAACAATGACAAAATATTCTACGTAATACACAGGGAGGGACAATGTGCACATGACCATTCTTGTTGGTTACAGCTCCAGCCTGACAGTCATCCACCAACGCATTTCTTCTTTGCCTCCTCTTCTTCCTCAAGACTCTTCCATGCAAGACTGGGATCCCAATAAGTGAATGGTCCTAGAAGTATTCTCTAACTGAGATTGCAAATTGAGAGAAAATGAGGAATATATAACTTCATATGAATACTAGAAAAAGGCTTGGCTTAGAATTCAAATTCTGCCACTTGCTCTCTGTGTTCCTGAAAACACATTTAGAGCTCCAGTTTGCTTTATGTTAAACGTTCATGTGACCATGAATACTATGTTCCCACATCCTCCTAAGGCAAGGCTAGGACCAGACCGTATCAATTGGGAACATATGGTGTCAAATTTAACAAGGTGTTTACTCTTAAAGATCTTGGAAATTAGTTTTGTGTTATACTCCAGAGAGACTCACACACCTATCCTAAGCCCTGGCCTTGAAAATTCTGATGAGGAATGAATGATTTCTGACATATCACAAGCTCATAATAGAAAGTAGTACAGCGTAAGAGTTGAATAAACCCTGTCCTTCTTTTATTATCTGCTACCACCACTGTGGATATCCATAATACATGGATCCTCACTTAAGATTACAACAAAATTATTGTGACTTTTATGTAGGGATAATTTTCCCCCATATCTTATATAGTATTTTCACAAAATAGCAAATGGATTCATATCCAGTGATGGTCAAGAAGATTGATATGAGTTTGATTGGCACCTCAGGTATGTGAAGTAGAAACTCAGTTCAGCTGGCCTGGGCTAGACACACCTTTAATATGTGGTGGCAGGGAGGTTAAGACTTTAGCACATCTGGATGTGGTAACTGGCTTGACCAGTTTTTGGCCAAGTGACTCTGAGTACCTCATACCTTCTCTCTAAGCATCCATTGATTCAGCTCTCACACTAGGCTCTCACTCCAGAAGCTGTGTGGTGATTACCATGGAAAGGTCTGTGGGGAGGCTAGCACCAGGATGATGCAATAAGCATACTGTTGGCAGGGACCTTCTAGCTGTTCCTACTCTGCATGTCACTGTTGTGGTGTCACAACAATTCTCTTTATCCTTGAAGTCGGTCTACTTTAAGTGTCTCTAGATTGATGTGTGGTCTGGGAAGCCATGATACCCAAAATTCCCCCCTCTGATGAGACACTGGTTCCTGAAATCCAATCAGAGTGGTTTGACCTCATAAGGTCTTCCTCCAAGCTTGATCTCTAGCCACCATCAAAGACTATGAGTTGGGTTTTAAGACTCATATTCTTCAATCAAATAAGAGCAGGACACAGTAGACCTGGCATTTTCTAAGAATAACTGATCATGAAATCTTGATTATTTTCTTTTCACTAGGTCTCAGTTGTTCTTACTCAGTTGAGTGGTTGACACTCTAATGGTAGATATAGCTGCCCCCTTTCCTGCTTCTGATTTGTGAATGACAGTACCTCCCTTTGACCCTGCGAAAAAGTTGTGTCTCCACTGAACTTTTAGAGGCACTGCTTTGGATTTTTAACTATAACAAAGATGCTTAATTGCCTTCAGATTTAAGCTAGGTAAAGGGAAGAGTTCTGATTGGCTACTACATACACTTGAGTGGAATGCTGGAAGAATAGACTTAGGCAAACAAAATATGTGGTACCCTAGCCATTACTGGTTACTCCTTTCATGTCACCTGGCAGAGTAGCTATTATACCATTTAGTAATAGCCTATAATTGGGCTACTTTCTTGAAAGACATCTCTGACACTGTAGTCTGTGTTATCAATAGGAATACTCTTTTGAGTGTACCTAATAAAAAGAAATAAAATAAAAAGTGGCATGTGGACCTCTACCTCTAAGCTTTCAGTCTGGAATGCAATCTTGCTCCCTAAGAGCGGTGACAGTGACAGAGGGTGGTGTAGACCAGGATGGAGTAACACCAGTACTCTTGGCTGAAACCCCATGTACTCCGGGGTGTTCCTTCCCTCCCACATTGCTTTAAGAGCCCACACAGAGGAACATCTGGACAGATGCAATCTACTGTGAAGCATATTAGCTCCCTCAGGCTAGTGGGAGCCCACCTAGTAAATGAGAAAGAAAGGGCCCCACAGTGAATTCTGGAAGCTGGGAGCTGTCTCACATGGGACCCATTTTTCTATGAAGAGTGAATTCCAAGTCAGTAATTCACACTGAGGCTGGAAGCATCTGGGAAGCTGTATGAGCAGACAGGGAAATTAACAGAAGGGACCAGTCAGGACATAATGCCATTCTCTGCCTTTGTCTCAACAGAGGATATGGAGTAAGAGCCTTGGGTTGTCACCAGACTACAACCCCCAAGGGTCTAAACTTTCTTCCAGAATGACAATGCCCTCGAGTAATGTAGTAGGTTTTTTTGAGGCAGGGCTTCATTTAATTTGCATAATAGCCATTAGCCTGTCTGTTAAAGGAAGACCCAAAACTTTTCCCAAATCACCTTGAGACCAAGGAGGAAAATTCATTAGCTAGACCTGCAACTCGACCCTTATGTATACTTTGGGAATACAGAGTCCATGGATGCCTCCTGATACCTCTCTGTTCATTTCACTGTAGCACATAGTAGGACTCTGAGCTTCATCAGAAGCCCTCTTCTCATAACAGTCAGATCCTGCCCTGACAATGTGAACTTGTATTTCTGGGATAACTACAGTGACAGACAGACACTGTTGATTCTTTTCCTTTGGGGGGGGGCGATAAGAGAGACATCTGTGTGAAGGAACTGCTTTCTCACTGTCATTGCTCAGGTGTACAGATGAAAAGGGGAGGGTGAGGGAGGAATGGCACATAATTAAATGAACAATTCAAAAGTTTCCAAACTTCTGACTTCAATTAACCTCTGAACTCAGTCCTGTTCCAATCTTCTGGCTTATAACATGATGAAGCCAGGCTGCAAAACTGGTTTGGGGTGTTTTCCATTCACTTGCCTGGGTTCCTGCTGGAGAAAGGACTTACTGACTTTATGACTAAGATGCCTTACAAGAAAATAGGCCAGTGATGACAGAGCAACAGCCTGGACTCAGGGGCGCTGAGATGGAACATTGGAGAACCAACAGATGACTCAGCCCCAGGGACTGTTCTCTCCCACTTAACCCGTGCATTGTCAACATTACACTTTTCAAATCTCTCACCACTTCTCATTTCCAGAGGCTAATGGAAAGTGAGTGACCCTTGGAGTGACTCCCACAAACTTTCTCTGCCTGAGAACCTCCAGAGATGCAAAGTGGCTTTGTAATTAAGGTGGCTCAGGTCCAAATTTGACCAAACCTCTTCCCATATGGATGACACTGAAAATGATCTTTAAGCCTTAGTTTCCCTACCTATGAAGTGGGAATAATAATTTCCAGTAACTCACGGGAGTCTTGGAAGCACAAAATAAAATAATTCACAGAGGGAGGCCTAACATGGCTTTGGTTATGGTTGAGCCTGGAGTGCTTGCTGACTTTATCACTACCCCTGCTATTAAGTGGATAATTGCAAGTCTATTTCTTCACGAGGACTCTCATCACAAGGTGGCACAAAATGTGTGTTTTAAAACAAACAAACAAACAATAGTACCAGAGGCAGATGGCTAAGCTAAGGTTTCAGCACAACTGGACCCTTTTGTAGAGTGTAATAAGAATCTGGCTTGTTCCTCTCTGCTAACCTGTGACATTTGCTGGCAATCTTTGGGGTTTGTATCTTGCAGATCTCTGCCTTTCTGTCTATGCGCATGTCTCCAAATTTCTCTTTTCCAAAATTAATATCAAGTATTTCTGACTAATACTGGGCTAGAAGACAGGACTGCTCATGTATGCTGTAGGGTATTTGAATGTCTGGTGGTCTCAGAATTATAATTCCTTGCTCTTGTTTCTTTATTTTGAGATTTCACATGTATGCATGTATGTGGACGCATGTGCATAGCTCTCTAACTATCCTAGTGTTTACTATAAGTTTTGTTTGTTTTTAACCTAAGGCTGTTTTAAAAATTAGTATCACAACTTGGAAATCAACAATTCTTAAAAATGAAAACAATAAAGATTTAAATGGACAATTTATTACTTCCTACACTGAAACAAGCATCCAGTTACAGTGGGACAGGAATCTTGAACGCTCAACCTCATGGTTGGACAAGACTTTTAAAAAGAAAATACTCCTCTATCATATGAAACTTGGAACACTGATTTGGTACGCCTTAGTCTTCATATTACCTCTGCTTTTTAGTTATAAACTAGTCCTAGACCCAATCATATCAACACCACCACCCTTGTGAATGTCTTGTGTGTCATATCCTTTCTTGTGTGCATCAAAACTCATGCTGGACAATGAGTTCTGGCTGCAAAGGCGTGTTTGCTTTTGCACCCTTTTCTATGCCTTTCTCCACCAGCTGAACAAACACACAGAAGTGCTACACTTCCCATAATTTTGTCTTAACTTTCTTGTTAGAGTAACTCTTGAATATAATTACATTATTGTCACTATGGTCTCAGTTAAGAAACAGGTGAAATATGAATTCAATGCATAGCACAATGACTTCAATAGAGGTAAATATGAAATGTATTTTATACAAACAGTGTGAGCTCTATCTACGGCACTGTGAAGTCTATGCATGAGGCTATATATGATAAGTATATATTCACAATGCAATCTCTACAGGTCACTTGAGCTCTACATAGGGTATTCTTAATTCTATATTAGTAATTGGAACTGTACACCTGCATTATAAACTCTGATTGGTGTAGTATGCGTTCTGTAAGCAATATGTAACCTGCACACATGGAATTGTGATTTCTACACAGCATAGTATGACCCACAAGTATGGCCTTGAAGCTGTTTTGTTTTGTTTCTTTTTTATTTTGAGTCAGAATCTCTCTATATAGTTTGACTGTCCTGGAGCTTGCTGTGTAGACTGGAACAGCTTCAAACTCACAGAGACCCACCTGATTCTGCCTCCAAAGTGCTGGGACTAAAGGCATATGACACCACCATACCTAGATCTACCTACAAGATTTAAATACTACACTAAGAGTTGTGTTTTCTACATGTCAATGTGTGGTAACTTAAGACATTATCAGGCCTGTAGAAGGAAATGAAACCTCTGACAGAGCATAGAGTTCTATACTGGCTACTATAGCTTCTAGAAATTTCATGATGAGCTGTAACCCATTGACCATAACCTCAACAAATGTATAGTAGGAGCTCTTATATTACAGTGTGAGGACTATACTAAGCACTACAGAACATATATGGGTTATCTCTGACACTGTGTACTCTGAAAAGGGCAAAATGAGTTCAGTGAAAGGCTGGATGAACTCATCCAGCTCATCGTGATGAGTCTGCATAGAGGCATTATAAGCCATATGAAAGTGCACTGAGAGCTATATAATGGATTTAACTAAGTCTCTACTGTGCATTGTGAGTGCTACAAGGGCTTCCTGAAATATATAAGCTGAGCACAGACTACTATGAATTTTGTAAAAGTGCATTATGCACTAATGCACATGGGCGGGTGTATTGTGAGCTCAATACGAGACACAATGACAGTACACTATGAGCTATGGACAAGGTACTATGGCCTCTAAGCACTGTACGGTAAGATCTATAGAAGATATTATGAGTTCTGCAATGGTTAATCATGAGATCTACATAGGGAGTTCTGTATAGTTCTATACAATGCACAAAGAGCTCTGTATGGAACAATGTGAGTTCAATATGAGAAGTATGCACAGCATTATTACCTCAATACAGGGCTCTATGAATTCTACTATAAACACCATGGCCTTGAAAACTATATGATTTAAAGTCAACACTGGTCAATATTTGTAAAGCATAATGTCTACTCAAGATAGCATGGCCTCTACAAAATGCACTGTGTTCTTACACATGTACAATAGTCACTCTACAGTGCAACATGGGTGTAGACATTGCAATATTAAATCAATGCTGCACAGTTATACCTTCGCTACAAAGCAATACATGTGGTAAATCTGACACCTCTATAAAGTGTACTACGTGTGCAATATCAAATCAATGCTGCACAATTATACCTTCGATACAAAGCAATACATGTGGTATATCGGGCACTTACCTCTATAAAGTGTACTACATGGTGCTTAAAAATGAAGAATGAACTCTGTGAGGCCACAAATTGTCTAGAAAAGTGCACTGTGAACTGTATATAGAGCACCATGAAGCATATAAATGCTCTATGAGTCCTCCATCAGTCCCCACATGCTCTTTATTGGGCACTATGAGATCTATATTGGTACTATATCTCCAGAGAATCTCATGTGGTTTATACATGCCCCTTTGGGCTGTTCACAGGGCATTCAGGGTTCTATTCAGAGCATCAAGAATCTATATAGGTTAACATAAGGCAGTATGTTATATATTCAGATGAATTATGAACTGTATACCTGAATGAAGTTAGCAGTTAACATGGAAGAGAAATTCCAGCAAGGCCTATAGTCTGTATGATTTCACCCAGTGAACATTTTAATACAGAAGGGACAAAATCCAAAAGGATACAATTCTAGGGAAAGAATTTCCATTTTTAATCTTCTTCCTCTTCCTCTTCCTCTTCTTCTTCTTCTTCTTCTTCTTCTTCTTCTTCTTCTTCTTCTTCTCCTCCTCCTCCTCCTCCTCCTCCTCCTCCTCTCTCTCTCTCTCTCTCTCTCTCTCTCTCTCTCTCTCTCTCTCTCTCTCTCTCTCTCTCTCTCTCTCTCTCTCTCTGTGTGTGTGTGTGCATGCACCATGGTACATATGTGGAAGTTGGAGGAACTCAGGCTACTCACTGAGGTATCTCACCAGCTCTAAAGTTCCTTACAATTTATGAACCTACACTTTTAAAGAATAACTTATTTGAGATATATAAATCATGGCAAAACATTTCATAGATCAGTATTGTCAGTTCCAAGAAGATTCATGAGTTGGAAGGTTGGTCCTCAGTAGAGAAATGAATGGTAGTAGAATCTTCAAGAAATAGATTGAAGCAGAGGGAATTAGGTCATTGGAAGGGATTACAGCTGATCTCATGGAGCAAGCTAACCACTGAGAGTGCTGTAAATATGACTTTATAACTATTTGACTTACTTTTCAGAGTAGTTCTTGGATATTGTCCTATCCTCGTCACCATGGCCTTCATCAGGAAACAGACACAGAAGATGTTAATACTGTCTTCCTCTTGCCCACATGTTAGAAACAAGGAGGAGGGCTTAAGAAGAAGGGAAAACTAAGGCCAACAAGAGTCAGGCTTCTCACCCCTCCCCATGTCATACGTCCTGTATGCATAAGCCTAATGTTTACACACAGTCACCTATGTGATGATGGGCTTCCATGGAATCAGATTTGAAAAAGGATGCATAAAATGAATTAGAACTCTCTGAAAGTCTCTTCACAACCTACATTTCTTTGGAAATTCTACAAAGATGAAATATGTAGCATAATGAATTGAAAAAATGCATCACATTGGATTAAAATAATACAAGCAAAAACTAATATAGAAAAACAAATAGAAACAACTAAAAAAGAAAAATTGGTGTATAAAAAGTGCATTACAGGGATAGATGATGGGAAAATGCCAAGGCAGTCTGTAGGAGCCAGCTAACTCTCACAAGCATGTGCTATATTGTGAAGGTTTTTATTTTGATGTAGAGTTGCTTTTTTGTATTTTATTTTTCTGTCTTTCAGGCCATTGATTCTCCTTAGAGAATACACTCATGTTTATTTCCTATGTGACATCGTTCTTTCTGAAAATTTGCTATGATTTGATATATGTGGAATGACCATTCCCTGTTGTTTTCCCAACACATGTGCCATGTTTCTGTGTTGCCCTGGATGTGCAGAGATGCATTCCACATGTGTTCGTGAGCAGATCAGAGGTTTGTGAGAAAAGATACTTGTGAATCCAAAGCAACAGTGCTGCAGAAGGCTCTTCCCACCCGGCCATGTATACAGCTATTTCCAAACTAACCAGGATCTTCCGTGGCAAATACATCTTTAATTTATTTAAAGTTCTGGGGATTCCATCAGCTGGAAAGAATGCCAGTGAAGTCACATCACAAGTTTTTATTGGCAGTTTTGTTATGCTCATATCACATGGCCGATCTGCTCCCCAGAATTTAGCTTTTGCTTCCTCCTTTACAATCTTTGTAAAGGGATGGCTATCTACCCTTTGGGTGATTTGGGCTATTAGAATTTCAACATTTGGGATTTTAGTCTATCAAGATTGTGATTTTTAATAGATTTTAAGATTTTTAGAGGGATTTTAATATTTGGGTATTTAAAAATGTTAGGCTTGTGTCTTTTGGGGATTGTGACATAAAATATAAGAGCTCTGACATTACACACTCTGCAGAGGACCAATCTACACCTAAGAAAACTCAGATAAGAATAGATGCTGCTTTATCATTGGCATTGCTAACCCATGGTAGCTCTGATGGCCTAACACATTGCTCAATTATTGGTGGAGGCTTTGATGTAAATAAACCCACTGTGTTCCTGTGTGATAGCAGTGCAACACATGTGGTTATGCATAGTGCTTAATATTGTGACATTCATGCAAGGAAAGCATCAGGTTAGTGTGCATTTCTCAGTAAGGACACATAACTGTTTACAGCTTGATATTTGAGCCAACATTTTCAAAAGGGAAATCCTGCACCAGGAGCCATTGGGACATTATGCCTTGAGGACATTAGGCAAAGTGAAATAAGCCAGGCAGGGAACAACAGATATTTCAAGCTTCCACTTAGTGTGAGATATCTAAAACAAATGTACCCAGAGCAGCAGGGCATAGAATAGTGATCACCAATGGCCCAGGAAAGTGGATGGTATGGAGCTTCAATTGTGGCAGATAAATAAATACTGGGCACCTGTTATACATTATCCATAGACAACAATATTGTATGGCACACTCAAAATATGTTGAGGATAGATTGCAAGTTAGGCGTTACCAAAATAAAACAAATAAAAGGTAATAAAGTCGGAACTAATTCCTGAGTTCTCCATGCAGCAGAAACTGTACTGAAGACTTTATAAGTACTCTTTATATTTATTCCCCAAATAAGATATATACTGACTGTATATCAGAATTTTGTATAGTGAGGAAATTGAGGTGGTAAAAGAGTCATTGTACCACAATAAACTCATGTACTACTACTAGGGCCAAGACTCTATTTTACGTATTTAAACCTAGAATTTCTCTCTTAACTAGTGTTAGATGAATGAAAGCAGTGGTGGCTTAAACTTTGGGGATAGCAAATGACCTCCAACTTTATTTGAAGATGCAAGGAGACATCAAAAGCCATATACTTTTAGAATAGGAATGATGAGATTATCCAGAGGTGACACATTCAGTAAAGCCTGCTCTTAGCTTTGCTTCAACCCGGACTCCCAACAGTTAAGGCATGTTT